TAGAAASAATAATAAAAAGCCTTCCAACAAAGAAAGGCCCAAAACCAAATGGATTCTTAGCTGAATTCTACCATACTTTTAAAGAATAACTAATACCAATGTTCCTCAGGTTAATCCATGAAACAGGATGAATTTAAGAAACCAGTATCACCCTCATACCAAACCAGATGACATATCAAAGAAAGAAAAGTACAAACCATAACCCTGATGAACTTAAATGCAAAAATCCTTAATAAAATATTAGCAAATCATATTCAGAAATATTACTATTATATTTTACATCATAACCAAATTAGTTTTATTCCAGGGTTGCAAGGATGGTTTAACATAGGCAAATTGTAATTCACCAAGTAAACAGAATTACAGATAAAAATAATACAGTCATCTCAATAGATGCAGATAAAACCTTCAAAAAATCAATTTTTTGATAAAGTAACTGATGAAATTAGGGATAGAAGGAACTTAGCATCACAAAGGCTTGCATATGACAAACTCAACATCATGGGAAAAACTAAAAGCATTTCTTTAAAAAAAATCTGGAACAAGACAAGGATGTCCATCCATTCTCCCCAACTCTTATTTAATATAGTAGTAGAAATTCTAGCCAGAGCAATTAGGCAAAAGGAGGAGATAAAAGAGACGTGTCCTTATGGGTAAAAGAGATTAAAAGTAGGAAAGGAAGAAGTCAAATTTCACTGTTTGCAGATGATATGATCCTATAATTAGGTGATCAAAAAACTTCCACCAGAAGACTACTAGTTAATAAACAAATTCAGCAAAGTAGCAGATTATAAAATCAATTTATAAAAATCAGTAGCTTTCTTGAATATACCAATAATGAATCTGTTGAGAAAGGAGGGATGGAATAGGGACAGTGGAATGAAGCGGAACAACTTTCCTAAACATATATGAATATACCACAGTGAATCTCATCATCATGTACATCCACAAGACTATAAAAAGCTATAAGCAGTGGAAAGAACAGTAGAGTAGGGGGAAGGGTGAAGGAAGAGGGAGGAAGGAAGAGAAAGGGTAAATACTAGGGACTGAATTAGAACAAATTATATTCCATGCTTTTATAATTATGTCAAAATGAATTCTAATGTTATATGTGACCAAAGAACTAATTTTCAAAAACCAAAACAAAACAGGAAAACAATCCCACTCAGAATAGCCTCAGAAAAGTGAAATACTTGGGAATAAATCTAACCAAGATGGTGCAAGACCTCTACAATGAAAACTTTAGAATACAKAAAGAAAGAAAGAAGACCTCAGAATTCTTTGGATTAGACAGAGGGGAGTGAAAGGAGGGGAGGGGGTATGGGAGTAGAAATAGTAGAATCAATTGAACATTATTACCCTATGTACATATATGATTACAGTACATATAAAACTCTAGATCATGTACAGCCAGAAAAATGAGAAGTTATACTCCATTTATGTATGATGTGTCAAAATGAATTCTACTGTCCTGTATAACTAAAAAGAACAAATAAAAATTTTTTTWAAAAAGACCTTAGAAAATGGAAAGACAGCCCATGTTCATAGATAGGCAGAATTAATATAGTTAAAATGGTCATATTACCAAAAGCAATTCAGTGTAATCCCCATCAAAATACCAATGATATTTTTCAAAGAACTAGAAAAAGCAGTCTTAAAATTCATATGGAAAAATAAATAAAAGACCAAGAATAACCAAAATAATTCTAAGCCAAAAAACAAAACAAATCAAACAAACAACAACAACAAAACAATGATGGAAGCATCACCATACCTGACTTCAAATTATACTACAGAATAACAGTAATAAAAACTGCATAGTACTGGCAGGAAAATAGACACATAAACCAAAGGAACAGAATAGAGGGCACAGAGACAATCCCACAATGTACAATTATCTGATCCTAAACAAAATGTGCCAAAAATATACATTGTAGAAAAGACAAATTGTGCTGGGGAAACTGGCTATCTGTGTGTAGAAGAATGAGAATAGATTTTTATCTCTTGCCCTGCACAGAAGTTAACTGAAAATAGTTCAGTGACGTAGGAATTAGACCAGAAACTGCAACCCTTTGAAGAAAATGTAGGGTTAACGCTCCAACATATAGGTGTAAGCAATAATTTTCTCAGTAGGACTCCTCAGGAAAGCTTGAGAAATAATGCCAAGAATTAATAAATAGGATGGCATCAAATTAAAAACCTTCTGTACATCAAAGGAAACAAGAGTGGGCTGGGGTTGTGGCTCAGCGGTAGAGCACTCGCCTAGCACATGCGGGGCCCTGGGTTCAATCCTCAGCACCATGTAACAATAAATAAATAAATAAAAGGTATTGTGTTCAACTACAACTAAAAAATAAATATTTTTTTTTAAAAAGAATGTGGAGAGAGAACCTATAGAAGGGGAGAAAGTCTTTGCCATCTACTTTTCTGACAGAGGATTAATGTTCAGAATATATAAAGAACTCAAAAAATCTCAACACAAAAAAAAAACTCAATTAATAAATGAGCAAATGAATTAAACAGACATTTCTCAAAAGAAATACAGATGGCTACAAATATTTAAAAAAGTTCAACATGATCAGCAATTAGGGAAATGCAAATCAAAACTAAACTGAGATTTCATCTCTAGTTAGAATGGCAACCATTAAGAATACGGGACTGGGATTATGGCTCAGTGGCAGAGCACTTGCCTCGCAAGTATGAGACACTGGGTTCAGTTCTCAGCACCACATGAAAATAAATAAAATAAAGGAACTGTGTCCATCTGCAACTAAAAAAGTGTTTTTTTTAAAAAAAAAGAATACAATAACAATTGCTAGAGATAATGTGGAGAAAAATAAATACTTTTACACTGTTGGTGAGATTATAAATTAGTACAATCATTATGGAAATCGGTATGGAGGTTCCTCAAAAAACTAGGCACAGAACCACCACATGAACCAGCTATACCACTCTAAATTATGTCATTTGCATGTTTTATATGTGGGAGCTAGAGAGGGAAAAGGAAAAGAAAAGTGTGTGTGTRGCGGGGGTGTCTCATGAAAATCAAAGGGAGATCAATAGAAGAAAGACACCAGCGGGGAGAGAGGAGGGAAGAGAAACTATATTTGCCAAATTATAATGTAGTATCATGTGCATGTACAAATTTGAAACAAATATCACCATTATGTATGATTATAATGCACTAATAGAAATTATGGGGGCGGGGAGAAGAGTGTTATAAGTAACTTGAATAGTGGGTTAGGGACCAGCATGACTCGAAAGGTTTCAGAATAAAACATCCAGGGGTCAAGTGTCACCCTTTCCTGAATAAGTAGAGTTTCTCTGAAGTTAGGCATTCTCCATGCTTTTGAATTTTAGATATTTGTCATCAGTCTTCATAGTTATTAAAGATTCTACATGGCCAAGAATGAGAATCAAGTAGTGTGTTATCTAAAAGTCATAACTGTAAGGATCTTCTGAACCAGTTTTAGGCCTTTTTTTTTTTTTCTAAAGCCCTTCATTCTAAAATGAATGCTTACAACATACTGTCTTGTAGATAAGTTGTGTGGAATATTGTATTTGGAAAGGATTTGTTCTTTTATTCCCTTTAGTTGGAAACAGCAGAGCAGAACATTGTGTAATTTTTAAATTCTAGTACAAAAACTTTTGCTCCGAAGAAAAGAAAACTAGAAAGTTTATAGAAATATAACTAATTTGCAATGGGAAAAATATGTTGGATGCTTCATTTGTAGGCATTGATGAGTATTTTGCTGTTTGTTAGCTATTTAAGTATTAGATTTCCAAGTCATCATCTTTTTTTTCCCTTGTGAAAAAGATTTTGCAGTTGTCTAGAATTTTGTTTCAAAATATAATTAACTTATTGCYCTCAACAAGGCATAATTCATGGTAGCGGTATCAAAATTTGGATTTTTAATTCAATTGAGATAGATGTTAGCCAAGTAACAATGTGCATGGGCCCCATTTTGATGATCCTGTAGTTTGCATCCCAGAGAATTCATAGTGCTTACACCTCAGTGCTAAGATTGGTGTTAGTGTTTAACAAAGTGCGCATACTGTTTGAAAAACAATAGTGGCCTTTTTAAACATTTCCTCATTTGCAGAGGTAGGGATTAATAATTACTTTTAATTAGTTATTATTTCAGAGGTAGGGGTAAATAATGACCCTTTCCCACTGCTCATTCTGTGTTCCTTTTGCCTTCACATACACCTCAGTTCCCCTGGTCTTTCTGACCCAGCCCTTCATTCCTGAAGAATCTTGTCCATTAATAGTCCTGCTTGGCCTGGATTGTTTTAGTTTGCCATTGACTTTAATCACAAGATGCTGTAACTCCAAGGGATCTAAGGGCTCCTAAGGGATCTTCTACACACCAAACATAGGTCTTCCTTCCCTCTATTGTGTAGTAGTAGTCCATGAGGTTTATATGTACATTAAAGGAGCCATAATAAGTACAAGAAAGTGTGAAATTGTTGCTTGRTACTTGCAAGTGCTTCATCAGTGTTCTTTTTTGCCTCCTAGATCTCTCTGCTAGTACTCAGCAAAAGGTCCTTTTTTAAAGCAAATATAATAAGGAACTGCTAAGGAGGATGAGGGAGCTTTTAAAATATATTTCTATACTTTTAAAGTGGTAATTTTTGCTAAAGTTGGATTTCTTTTTAAGCAACTTTTAGATCTTGCTCAGTGGCCAGTGTTCCCACAACTGACCTCAAAGAACCTTATGATTGATGGAATGGCATTGATCACTGGATAGAGGAGGCCTAACCCAGGGCTAAGACTTTCAAAAGGCATACACAGGCTCTTTTAAAGATTTCTCTGAAATGTGTTGCAATGCTTGCAAGCCCTTTTATGCACTGGGGATAGAACTGAAGTGCTGGAGGAATGTTCCAAAATATTTTGTTATACTTGGAAACATATATTCAGTTTTCAGATTTCTGGTTATTTTGTTATTAGATAAGCAGTATGAAAAAATGATACTTTTTTCCAATTTTCTCCATTCAAGGGTCGAGTGGTAGAAAATATCTCGAAGCGATGTGGTGGATTCCTGAGGAAGCTCAGCTTACGAGGCTGCATTGGTGTTGGGGATTCCTCTTTGAAGTAAGTAAAATCCATCCATTCTGTCATGGCAGCTGGTAGCTGACATTTTTGTTAGCAAAAATAAACTAAGCATATTATATACTTTTCTTCTAAGTTCTTTCAGTGGTAATTTGTAGAGTAATGAGAGAACCATAACTCTGGAATAGCAGGTAAGCTCCATTATTGTTAAGGATGTGAACTGAACTGTGGGACAAAGTTCACCTGTTTGTCAATTCTCTGTTCTGCATAGTGAAGTAGTTACAGGTTATGCATAGGACTGCCATGGGCATTACGTGAAATAAATGTGGAGTGCCTGGCACATAATAATGTTATTCATTCACCTCTCCTGTAGTCCCTTTTTCACTTTCTCATCTTCCTGGTTTCTTATAAAATTATACAAAATTGAGAAAAAAATTTGCTTAGCATAAGCTAGAATTTTGGCTACTTTTGATAGGATGTGATTATTACATTCATTGTATTATAGTTAGTAGTATACCTGTCCAACTAACTGCACACACACATATACCTGCACTGGATAGCATTGGAAATGTTAGCAACCACCACTACCCCTTTTTTTTTGGTTGTACTGAGGACAGAATCCAGGGGTGTTCCACCAATGAGCTATGTCCATCCAAGACTTTTTTTTTAATATATATTTTCTAGTTATCGGTGGATATAACATCTTTGTTTTTTGTATGTGGTGCTGAGGATCGAACCCTGGGTTGCAGGCATGCCAGGCGAGCACGCTACCACTTGAGCCACATCCCCAGCCCCCATCCAAGACTTTTGAGAAAGGCTTTCCTTGTGATCCTCCTGCCAGAGCCTCCCAAATTGCAGGGATTACAGATGTGCCATAGCATTTGACAACAAACCATTATTAAGAATATGTACTTTGAAGTTTCTGAAGACAGACATGATCAGAACCTTCATGTCTTTATAATTGTGGTCTCTATTATTGCCTTTTTTCCCCCCTCTTATCCTGGGGATTGACTCTAGGGATGCTTTACCATTGAGTCACATCTCTAGACCTTTTTAAAAAWTTTTTTTTTTTTTTTTTTTTAGTTGTAGGCGGACACAATGCCTTTATTTTTATTCATTTGTTTTTATGTGGTGCTAAGGATGGAACCCAGTGCCTCACCCGTGCTGGGCTAGCATTCTACCACTGAGACACCCCCCAGCCCTCTAGACCTTTTTATATTATTATTTTGAGCAGGTCTTGCTTAGTTGTTGAGGATCTCACTAACTTGCCCAAGCTGACCTTGAACTTGTATTCCTCCTGCTCTGTCTCTCCAGTTATTGGGATTATAGATGTGTGCCACCACACCTGGCTTTCTTCGATTTTCTGTTTTATGATTCAGTCTTGGTAGGTTTTGGGTTTCTAGAAGTGCATTCATACCTTCTGGCTTACCCCAAATGTCAGCATACATCTTTTCATGGCATTCTCTTACAATGTTTTTTATTTMTATGGCATCAGTTATAATGCCACTCTTTCATTTCTGACATTATTTATTTTTCTTGGTTAATCTAGCTAAAGGTGTGTCAGTTTTAGGGATCTCTAAAAAAACCCAACTCTTATWTTTTGCAGTTTTTCTATTCCCTGTTTCACTTACCTTTGCTCTAATCTTTTATTTCCTGCCTTCACCCAGCTTTGTGTTTAGCTTGTTCTTCTTCTGATTTCTTGAGAAATTATGGTATTATATACAGCTCTTRTGTTTGAATCAGGATCTAAAAACAAGCTCCCTTTACTGTGTGCGACATATTTCTTAAGGGATGTTACAGACTAGAGACTTATTATGTTGCCCTTCTTTGTTCAAGTTATCCGGGTTGAATGTCTTGGAATTTCCTACATTTTGTATTTGCGGTGRTTTTGGCATGTTCTCTTCCTCATGTTTTCTGTGGACAGGTGGAGCTAGCCCTCTGGAGAGGTTAGAGCCAGAGGCTGGATGGATTCAACTCTTGGTGGGAAGACATCATTGCCTGGGTGATGCTAAGACTGACCAGGAGTCATCAGCTTCATCTCTCCACTAGAAAGTTCCTCATCTTTCATCAGATAATGATTCAGTAGTCATTGATGATTGTTGCCTATAGTCATAATTTCACCAAGGATCACAAAATGGCAGCTTTTCAATTCCATCATTTCTTCTTTATTTACTAATTGTGGTTCTTCCACCAAGAATTCCCCTGACCAGTTGGTTACTCTGAAAAAGTGTACAGCAAAAGCAAAATAGATAGATGCTAGATTCTTTCACTTTACTTATGAGTTCTTAGAATCATGAGCTGATACCCCAAAACCTTCCAGCATGACCAATAAGCTTTTGTTTGGGGTAGGTGAGAATTTTATTAAGAATTTGKATATTTTTAGAAAATGATTTCATTTTTTATCAAAATAATGGGTCTTTTTATGCTCAAAATGTCCCTTTTTTTCTTTTTAAAAAAATTTGTTCTAATTAGTTATAATATGACCATAGAATGCATTTTGACATATCATACATAAATGAATATAACTTCTCAATCTTCTGATTATATGTGATGTGGAATCAGACTAGTCATGTAATCATGTATGTACATAGGGTAATAATGTCTGATTCATTCTACTATCCTTCTGACCCTTCTGTCTAATCCACAGTATTTCTATTTTTCCCTACATGCCCCCCTGCCTTGTTGTAAATTAGCATCTGCATATTAGAGAAAATATTCGGCCTTTGGTTTTTTGGAATTGGCTTATTTCACTTAGCATGATATTTTCCATCTCCATCTATTTACCTGCAAATACCATCATTTCATTCTTCTTTAAGGCTGAGTAATACTCTATTGTGTATATATACCACATTTTCTTTATCTGTTCATCTGTTGAAGGGCATCTAGGTTGGTTCCTTAGTTTGGCTATTGTGAATTGAGCTGCTATAAACATTGATGTGGTTGTGTCACTGTACTATGCTGATTTGAATTCCTTTAGGTATAAACCGAGGAGTAACGGGGGTGATGGCCAGTGTCTCATTGGGGGCGGGTTCTTCCTGCCTAGGAGGGTGTAAGCCACCCTAAAACTTGAAGTTGTAAATAATTAGTGAAGAACAAAACACAAATAGTCAGAAATATRTTTACATAAGCAAAGCCCCTGATAGATCTAGTCCACATGGGTGCTGGAACTAGACAAAGAAAAGATGGCTCCTGTGGTTTATTTAAGGGGGTTCATCAAAGGTAGGGGTAAGGTTTCAAGGGCAGAGTCTTGCTTCTGATGTCTTGCAGTCAGTAGGTTGATTAACATTTTGGCAGGTCACACCCATCTCAGGTGCTGGGTGGGATCTTTGGCAGAGCTTGAGGGGGAAGTTCACCTACATCAGGCAGTCAATCCCTGTGGGGGTGCCATGGGAGGTTCCCAATGCCAGACTTACCCCCTCATTAGGCTATGATGTAACAYAGTCCATGCACAGCCCATGGACTGCTCTCTACAAAGGAGTGGGATAACTGGGTCAAATAGTGGTTCCATTTCAAGTTTTCTGAGGAATCTCAGTATTGCTTTCCAAAATGGTTGCACCAAAATATCCCATCTTAGCCAGTTGGAGTCCCTTCAAACTGGCATCTGTTATTGTGATGTGACCTGCCGCAGTCTGGCTGGGCAAAGTAACCAGGAGGTGACAAGCAACTTGAAGGTTGAAACAGGAACTGCTTTATTACGGAATAACAGCCGTATATATACCTAACTAATTACACATAGCTTGACTCAGTTAGCATCATCCAGATACAGCAGTCAGCCAATAAAGAATCTCCATCATCTTAATGGCTCAGTGGCGTTGCCTCACAAACCACTCCTCCTGGCAAACTGCCAGGCGCCATCTTAACTTGATTCGCAGCCCTTAACAGTGACCATAATTTTTTTAGATAGTTTTTGGCTTATTTTTTACATATTCTACCACAGTTTTAGATTAACTTTATGAAGAAGTCGTCCTGGTTCCTGTAAGGAGAAATATTTAGAGATCACAGTTTAGGTGCTAGATCACTACTAGGTTAGATTGCTTAAATTAGCTTGCTCCTGGCTAGTATCATTTCTAAGCTCTTGCATTGGGTCTTGCTAGGAAATAAAATACTTGTTTAGAAAGGGGGTGGGGAGAAAATGTTAAGTGCATCCTAGTATTTCCAATTCAAATAGGATTACAGGTTTTTAAAATAGACTTTAATTTTTATATCAGTTCTGTGTTCTCAGCAAAATGGACAGTTGTAGATGTTTCCTATATAACCCCTGATTACAAAACTTTTATGTAACTTCTTTGATTATTTTTTGTCTTTTGTATTGAAAAATTTGGTTCCTGATAACTAATGTAATACCACTTTTTTTTTTTCTTTTTTGTACTGGGGATTGACCCAGGGGTGCTTTATCACTGAAACACATCACAGCCCTTTTTATCTTTTGAGACAGCATCTTACTAAATTACTTAGGGCCTCACTCAGTTGCTGAGGCTGGCTTTGAACTTGTGATCCTTCCACCTCAGCCTTCCTAGCCACTGGGATTACAGGCCTATCCCACTGTGCCTGGCTGAGCACTTTTATGTTTACTGGTGATTTTTTTATTCTTCTGAGAAGTATCTGTTTAAGCTCATTTGCCCATTTACTGATTGGATTACTTATTCTTTTGGTGTTAGATTTTTCTAGTTCTTTATGTATTCTGGATATTAATACTCTGTCAGATTAATTAGTTGGCAAAGATTTTCCTCCCACTGGGTTGTCTCTTCACTCTGTTGATTGTTTCCTTTGTTGTGTAGAGACTTTTAAATTTGATGTAATCCCATTTATCAATTCTTGCTATTTCCTGAGCTATTAGAGTCTTATTTGGGATATATTTGTCTGTGCCAATAGCTTTAAACTTTCAGGTCTTCAATGAAGGGTTTTGATCTATTCTGAATTGAGTTTGGTACAGAATGAAAGATAAGGAGCTAGTTTCTTTCTTGCACATGTAGGTATCCAGTTTTCCCAGCACCATTTGTTGAAAAGGCTATGTTTTCTCCAACACGTTGTTTTCTCTGACA